TATTACTCAGAGATGTGTGCCAACAGAGTGATCAGCTCTACTTGGGGGAAGGAGGCCCATGACAGTTAAATGAGATGAAATTCTTGAGTCTTGAAAATTGATCAAGGGTTTGCCAGGCAGGTGGTGAGGAAAGAATATGCCAAACAGGGGCAACAGGATGGAGAGAAGTCTGCAGACATGGCACAGCACAACTATGCCCCAGGAATTGTCAGTCATATGGAATGGCTGGACATGGGTGGTAGCCCTTCTGAAGGGGTTTGGCCTTGTCCTGCAGGGTTTCAAACAGAATGTGGAGAAAAGCTAAGAAATGATTATCTCCAGGCCCCTGTGCACAAAGGGGATGAATTCCTCATGTAGGACAACATCGATGGGAATGGGAAAATCAAGGTTAAATAGAGTTTAAATAAGAGTAGACAATCAAGCGATTAACAAGATTTTGGAAACTTGAGGGCTAGTTATGAGGAACAAATGAAATAATGGATTTGAAAGCACATTTTTTGCATACTAATATACTATCATAAGATATCTTTTCCACAATTCAATTCTGAACGTGAATAATGGGGCTCAGTCTTCCTATATAGCAGGATTACTCCAATTGTTGGGCCAAACGACAGTACGGTGGTGGCAGTATCCATATCTCAGTTTATACTTCTTGGCCATCGCTCCTGCTCCCCACCTCACGATCAGTACTGGACAGCTGGTGCCTTCTGTTTTAAAGTAAACAACGAACAGTATATGAGCTAACTTTTACAACCAGTTGCTCAAAATAGCAGAATAATAAAAAAGAGTTTTAAAGCTGAAATATAAACTGGATTCCCTCATTTTACAAAAGAGTAAACTAACACTCTGATCATCTAAGACTTATACAAGAGCAAGTCAGAGACAGCTCTGTGATCAGGTGTCTTAGAAAACTGCAGGAGCTGTCTGCTGCCATCCTTGTGGGGTATGGATCCATGGTTATGCTTATTGACTGGCTACTAGAAAGAAATTAATAATCCAGTGTACTTGTAACTCAAGGAAAATCCCTTCCGAAAAGACACAGGAAGGTCCAGTATTGGTCCCATGTTCCCTCCTCAATGGGCAGGCCAGGCAGTGGCTAGGAATCTTCAACCTCTTCAACATGAAACTTCCTAGTTTTAGAGCCAGAAATTTTTATCTACTGGGTAAACAGTCTTGTTCCACACCTCGGAAATAAAGACATTCCATTTGTGGATCTTATTATCGCATGAGGTTATGTCAACAATGCCGACATGATAATTTCGAGTCAATCATTTCATCCTCTGTAGCACAATTCGGTTTGGAAGCACAGCTGAACTTCTTACTCTGAATACCTGGGAGGGCTGCTCATGTTCTGTGATCAGTCTTACTAATGATGCACTATAGCTATTATCATTTCTATACAAATGGCCAACTGTCCTCTGCTAAGTCAAGGCCTGTGTAGTTTCCTTAGATCCTAACTCCATAGTGATAATTTTTTACCATGAACACTATTCATTCCATGTTCCACATTGGCAGGGCCATCTTCTGACAAAGGGGATGGCGATATGCTGGGCCCGCAGAAGGCCTGGGAGGCCCATGGGACCCCTGTCAGCCCCTCTTCCATGTCCCCGAGCCTCATGGGAATGCACGTGTGATGGTTCAGAAGCAAGGTGAGGATGGGGCCAGGGAGTACAGAGAACAGGTGAGAACAGCTCCACAACGGACCAGCCAGCTCACCAATGACAAAGTTTGCCATGGGTTCCACACTTGTTTCTAGTCTATTGTACTTGTACGTTGACGTACAAAGTGGAAAAAATATCTCTGGTCCCACTTTCTACTTGCCACTGAGGTCAACTCGAACTTACCCCAAGAAAGAATCGCCTAAATTTTTGTATAGTTATAATGAAATCCTCCAGGAAGAAAGTGGACTTTAAAAAATCAATTTCCCTTACTGTATGTATCAAGGTAGCTTTTGGTGTGCTTGTTTCTAGTCTGACTGACACTTCTCAGGGAAAAATGATACTTGCTCTCTCTTTTTTTCATAAAAGGTCCCTTGTGGTTACTGGATATTAGTGTCTACTCACTCGCTTATTCCTGTCCAGTTTAACTTTTATTTGAAATTTTGTCTGCTCATTTTTATTATTTATTTATTTATCTATTTTAAGACACACAAATTTTCTTCTGCACATCTCAGGAAAAGAACTAGTTTTGACAAAGCCTTAGCCAATGCTACTGCTCATTAGGTTTATATTTCCCCTCCAAGGACTTGGCAGGATCAGAGTTGCTGAGTTCACATAATGTTTCAAAAGAGAAAAAAGTATTTCCACGTATTACTGAAGCAGAATATCCTAACTGCATATGTAAAATCCAGTCTGTGCTCTTGAAATGCATGTCACAATGGGATGAACAATAGAAGTACAAACACAAAGGGACATTCGGGTGACCTGTAATATGAGTAACTGCTCAGCCACTGACTTTGCAAGGAAAGTCACTGAGGCAAAAACTACCCTGTGTATATAATTATTGTGGTTATGAAAGTATTTAGCAAACACACCACTAGATTTTTGTCCCTTTTTGTCCCAGTATTAAAGTTTCTTTAATGGTTTCCAAATTTGTGAGTGAAATTTCATTTGTAAGGTGGTTTAAAGAAAACAAAAATCTCTAATCTAACTCCAAATTTAATTCAACATTTTCCTTTTATTTACTATAAATTATCTTGAGGTTTAAACAATTTTAAAATCTGTATAGGTTCTGGGAATGTAATTATCTGTAAAGCACATGAGTCCCCAGCAAGATACTTTTTCCAATTATCTCATCTTACTCGTGATCTTTCTATCCCACCAATTTTGCTTAGTTTCTGATTTCACTGAGTTGGGATTAAATCAGTGTATTCCTCCCACTGCATAATTTAGGACCGCTTTAAAACGATGTAATTACAAACCTCAATGGCAGATTGTGAAATTGCCTTTGCTGTCATAACTGCCATTAGCATGGTTTTAAGTTCTTTTGGAACAGTGGGGCAAAGATGTCATGTTAATAAGTTCTACTCCTGTATGTCTGCTATTGATTATTCACAGCAATTGTAGACTTGGATGGGATCCAAAACCAGACACAAAACCTGGGAAAATGCCAATGTTTTGTGAATCTAAAGGAATTTTTTAAGAAAAAAAATTCTTTAAAACAATATGACTGGATGAAATAGTATAAAAATTTAAAATCATGCAATTGCAGACTTAAATGGGTACAGTCCTAACGTATTGGTCTTCCTGAAGGATGAGAGATTTTGGATAGTTACCTACTCTCATTTTGATTACTTTCTATAGAGTGAAATGAAAATACTATTTACAAAGGTTTTCCGAAGCCTTATTTGACATTTGCTGTATTCACTCCCACTGCTCTGCCAGCCTATAATCCTCTCCCTTACCATGAATTTCTTCTCTACTTCAAGTTCTCAACTCTCTCTTCTTTATCTGAATCTAGAGAAGGTGGGCCCATTTAAAACTACTGTGAAGTTTTCCACATCCAGGAAAACCAGGTAGATGAGATTTTGGTCACATGCTTTCCAGTTTTAAATACACAAAGAAAAAGTCTTTTCATGCTTAAAGGAAAAAACAACTCCCACATACTTTTTCTTTTAATGTAAGATGCTCATAGTCTCCAAATAAATGCTTCCCTTTAGAGTTAGATCTTTGGCATGTGGAAACTCATGTAGCAAATGGTTAGCTCTATTATTCTGCTGGTACCCAAGTTTGATTCATTAATTTAAATTCATTTTAGCCATCTCCATCAAATTTCTTTAAACAATCAACATGTTTTGCTACTTTATAAATTACTGATTTGAGAGAAACAAAAAATAGCCTCTTTACATATACAAATTGAGAAGCTCCAATTAAGTTCTCGCTTGTCATTATCTAACAAGATATACACTTTGGTCAATATAATTTCCTTGCCATGCATTTCTGGATGTTTATAAATGAACTATTCTGAATTGTGGTGGGAAAAATCCCAGTGCCTCTTACAGACTACAATAACTCTCTTGTAATTTGCCAAAAGCAAGTGGTATTCATTTACTCTTTTTCTTAAAGCTCATAATAAAGGCAAACAGGTAGATTTTTGTTAACAATCTTCAGATTGGTAGAGCTAAAGGGTTTGAAACTAGATAAATGCATAGTTTAGACCAAAGAAATAAGCTTTTAAAGCAATGGAGTGGGTGAAAAGCCCTCCACCCCTTTAGTTGCACAAACTAAAAGACTTCAGGCCGTTTGTTTGAGTATTTTCAGACAATTGCTAGTCAGTGAGGTTAACAATGGATGCTGAAAAGGATGTATCACTAGCATTGTGACTTATTGTACTCTATGAAAATGCACTTTAGTAAACGGAGACTCCGAGAATAATGAATTAGTCTCTCTGTCTCCCTTCCTTGAATTTGGTTAGTATCAATAAATAGGGATATCTGACTAACTGGTTCCAGTCCAGGTGTTGCTGGTTTCTAGAAATGTTCTCCTCCCTGCCGTTTTCCAATAGTAGCTGTTATGCTGTGTGGCGAATGATTAACTCTGTCACCTCAGAATTTGCATGCCTGCTTTAAGTATGATGGGTTTCAGTCTTGGAATGGAAAAAATACAAGTCACCTGAAGTCTCACAGTGCAACAATTTTAATAGCCCACACTAAAACAGGCGATACAGTTCTGTAGTTCCACATTAAAAGCAACTCTGCCTTACTTTAAAACGCTTCTACTTAATGCTTCTCTTCCGCATCCCTTCACTTAAGGGGTAAGTCTATGCAAGTACCTCTACAGTGCATTTTTCAGGCATTAAAAATGTGATTTGCTTTCCACAGAGTGCTGAATAAGAGCATGTCTTCTAAACTTGAGGGGCTGTGGAGTTCAAGTTCAGCTACCATCTCTGACAGAAGCACCCTTCTCACTCCCACTGGTGACGCGAGCCAGGAGCAGAGGCCCCAGAATAGCTTTTTGAAAAAATTAATTATGCCAACCTCCTCAGCGGCAGGTATCTTCTCTTACCACAAATAAATATTTAACGCATCCTTGAGTCATGAAATATTGAAAACTCAATTGATACTTCAATTTCCAGAAAAAAATCACGGAGGCATCGTGTGAATATTCTGAATTTGGTGGGATCAGACACCAAATACAGGAGTGGGTCAGAAGTTGCGGGTTTAGAACTGGAGGCTGGGGGGGCAGTGGCGGGAAGAGAGAGTTCTGGAGCGCTGGGCTATTGCTCGTCCTCTTGGGGGTCACCAGGGAAGCCCTCCTCCTCCGGCGACCTGACTCCCTCTGGGAGCAGCGTGGCGCGCACTTTCCTCTTCTCCTTAAAGCGGCCCGAGCGCGAGATCTTCAAATTGCGGCGGCTGTTGCCCGATTTCTCCCCGCACTTGTCTGGCTTGGGGGAGTCGCCGGCGCCCCCCAGGAGACTGGCGTACTGGTTCTCCCGGGAGCTGCTAGTCCAGTCCGGGCTGGGCGGCGCGGGCTCCCCGGAGGCGGGCTGGGCCGCAGGCTGCGCGCCCGCCGTGGCTTCCTTGCTTTTCTTTCTGCTGCTGTTGGCGAACGATTTCCACCAGGGGCCCGAGCCGCCGGTGCCGCCGCTGTCGGCCATGGCCGGCCGAGGGGCCCGGGGCGCCCTGCGGGGAACGGACTCGGCGGCGGCGGCTCCTCTCTCCGCGCGGTCCCCGGCCGTTCACGCCACCCTTCCCCGGCTTCTCCCACGCGGGCCGCGGCGTGGGTGCAGAGGCAGCGCCCTGTGCTGGGGAAGAAAACAAAACTTAGTTACCGGGTTGGTCGGAGTCACGTGCCCCGCAATCCCATTTCCTCGCCTGCACTCCGCCTGGCACTGGGTCGGCCGGGGGCGCAGTGACCGGAGCCCCGAGTGTAGCCCCCAGTAGCCACCGCCGCGCCCCCGTGGATGCGGCTGGACCAGTGGCCTCCAGGGCGCCACCACCTGGTCTTCAGGCTGAGCCTTGAGCTCCCCGACCTCAACCTTTGCCTTGCCTCCAGGGAGTGCAGTGGGCCCCGCACCAGGGGCGCCGGGGGATGTTCGCGGCCATCTGGACCAACCTGGCTCCGGAGAGAAAATGGCCCGTCCTGTCCACACTGCCTGACTGTAGACAGACGCCGAAGGTGACCCACCCGGCCATAACGGTCCCCCTTCGGATGAGCACCTGGGAGGAGGGCGCTCGGAACCAAGCGTGTCCTCTCTACAGGTACACAATGAGTATTAGACTATGAACAATCTCGAAATTTCCCCCAAAGACTTTCCTCCATAGAGTTCAGTCGCAGCATCCTTTTCTATGAGATGTTTCAGAGAATTTATATCCCAGTATGAGAGAGGGACGAGCTCGTGCTGTTTTGTTTTGCTCCTTTTAAATTCTTCCTTTAACCACTTCTGCCTTGTGACTTCCAGAGAAGCATGTCTAGACTTAACTTCCCTTGGAAACCGCCGTCCTACTCTTCCTTTTATTCCCCAGACGCCAATCTTACGTCTTTGTGAAGCCACCCCCAGCTGACGGTGGAGATGAGCCAAGTGCAAATGGCATCTTCCCTTAGTTCTTTATTAAAATATGCACCGAGTCTGTTTGTACTACGCAACTCTTGAGATTTTAATTACAAATTAAAGGCGTCTGTTTTTTTCCTTGTGAAATTCCCTCCTCCAAAGGAGGGAGACTGTAAGCAGGAACTTCCATACAATTTGTTTCTTCCCCAAGTGTTTAATACCCCCTCTGCAAAGCGAAAAGGCCGCTTATGAGCCCCTAGGTGCTAATATTGTATGTGAGACTGTCCACTTTCTGTGCGGGGTCTACTGGGAACCGCCACCAGAATGCGCAGATTGGCCTGCGCCGCGGCTCACTTCCAGGTTTCCTCTCTGCCCGGTCCCAGCCCACGCGCCGGGCGCTCTCGGGATTGGCGAACGCGCCCCGGAGGGAAACTTCAGCGCAGTCTGCTGTTGGAGGTTCTCCTCCCGGAACCGCCGGGGAGAGGAAGTCTGAGCGCCTACGGCAGGCGGCGCGGGGCCTCGGCTAAGCCCCGAAACCGCGGCACCGGCTCCTCCCCGGGACGCCCCGAGGACACGCTCGGGCTGCGACTTGAAAACAATAAAAGAAAAAAGTGGCCAAAAGTTCTTTCGGTACAAAAGGCACCCACACCCTCAGGCACAACTGGCACTTGTGTTTGCAAACAGCCTATTCCCTCCTACGTTACAGATAGGAAAAGCACCCCCACCCCCACCCCAGGCTATTTACGAATGGTGGTGGTGGTGTCCTGATGCTGCTTTCTGTCCTCCAGCCTACACTTTCTTCTCCACGATTATCAACTTTGTGTACACGGAAGAGCTTTGTACGAATTCCGCAAAGAAAAGATGGTAAAAACCGCAAATGTACGCAACGCAGTTCTGGAGCGCCTGTGGCTTGCTGTTTCTTCTAGGGTACCGGGAGGCGGGGGACTTGGAGGCACCCCAGGGTGACAAACCGGTGCCAGGCTCTGTCTTGGCGGACGGAGAACCACCCCCAGTCGCTCACCTGCTCGGGCTTCCCAGGACCCCGGGGCCCCGCGCGGAGATCGCGGCCGAGAGCACCAAGGGGGCGCGCTCGGGTCACCCTGGAAGCCGGGGCGCGGCGTCCCTCGGCGCGGACTTGGAGAGATCCCGCTTCTGGGAAGTGGACCAGTCGCAATCTCCGCAGCCCAGCTAAACCAAGTGCTGCCGCTGGTCTCCCCTGGAACCTCCAACTTCCGCGCGCTGTGGCGTAGCCTCGGGCTCGCAGCGCGGTCTGTTCGGGTCGGAGGCGCCGCGGCAAGGGGCTGCCAGGCTCGCCGCCCCCAGGTGAACGGCCAGGCAGCTCTCCGCGTTAGCCGCCTTTCATTCTCCGGCGCGTCCCTCGTCCCTGCTTGCACCGCCTGGGAGCCGCCGAGAGATGAGAGCCCGGCTGCTCACTCTGGAGCACAGGACCTTCCTACGCGTCCGTAGGAACGGGAAAGGGCATCTGCCCACCTGCTGGTTGTTCGCCAAGTGATTCGAGAAACCAGAACCCCGGAGCAGCGGGGGTGGGGGTGCGGGGTGGGGAGGGGAAATAACCCAGGAGGCGGCCACCGCTGCCACAGGTGCAGGTAGGAACTTCGCGTTCCCGCCCTCCGGGGGACGAGATTGGATCAGGTCGCAGACGTGGCGCCAGCCTTGAGGTGCCTGATTGGAGAAAAGCTGTGCTGCGCTGCTCCTCCGACTGACTCCGCCAGAAGAAACAGTGGAGACCCGAGACCGGGAGACTGAGGCTGTAGCCGGGCTCCGCTGGAGAAATGTTGCCGCAGCTCTCGCTCTGCCCCACCCGATTTCTTCCCCCTCGCCAGTTTTCTGGGTACCGGGATCCCACGTTTTGTAACTCACGAGAACTAATTCACGCCGGGCAAACTGTTTGAGTGTTTCGGGTTCCCCAGATGAAAGGCCGTAATGTTGTTCACAAGCTCGCTGTGCGCCAGCCTGGCGTTGTTCCAAGCGCTTTCTGTGGGTTCATTTATTTACTCCTCATGGCCACCCTAGGAGGTAGGTACTATTATCATGCTCACTTAGCAGGTGAGGAAACCCTACCGCAGGAAGGTTAAATGGTTGCTCAGGGTTGCCCGTCTGGTACATGGCAGAGCAGAGTTGGAACCCAGGTCTGACTCCAGCTTCCTTGGTCTTAACCACCACGTTATACCGCAGTCTGTGCCAGTCTTGGGCTCTTAACGCCGCTACGTGAAGGTGTGAATTTCCTTCTTTCAGGTCTGGAATTCCATGGACAGCCACCCCACCAGGGCAGTGTAAATCCAGCTCCGAGCCACTGCAGGAAGTGAATCAGGGATTGTGTCAAGGTTCAGGCCTTTGCTCCTGGTCACATGTCGATGCTTTTTTATTCGTTCCACAGCAGGGTTTTTGGCACAGGGCATTTTCACTAATGAAAGCAGAGGTGCAGCTTGCTTCATCTCCTAGGATGCTCTTCTTTTCCAAAGAACTATTTTAATGTTCCTTGAGCTCATATACAAGCATAACTCCTCTGAAGGACTGGGTCTGGAGTGACTGAGTTCTGAGCATCTTGGTTCTGAGGACTTCCTGCAGTATAAAAGTAGTGAAAGACAGACCGCCTAATTCGAATACCTTGCAATATAGAATTAGTAGAAATAAATTTTTATGGAGTATTTCAATGCACGAGGGAAGGTGAAAACATGAATACTTTATATGATTAACTTCTTAGTTTTATGCAGTGCATAGCAGTGTGTATTTGAAAGTCATACGTTTTTATATATTTCTTGGGATTAGTTTTAAAGCATAAACATTCAATCATAGCACCAGAATTGAACAAAGACAGGCCACCAACTCTGAGGGGAGAATGGGACAATTCATCATAGTGCCAATACTTTGCAGGTGACGAAATGGACTCGTGGAGGACTGCCCTTGTCCGAGGTGTCATCACCACCAGGAAGTTAGGGAGCTGGGTTGTTACATTGTTTGTTGACCCTATGGGTAAAAGAATGAAGAAATTTAGGAAAAGAAAATTAGTATTGTCAAATGGTTCCTCATTGAATATGATTTTAAAAGGGACCAGCATTTTCTTAATAAAAAGACCTCTACTAACTATTGAAATTTTTTTTAAAAAATTGATTCTCATAAATCACATCTCATTCCCCATTTATATTCAACAACTTTGAGTGTTTCCGTCATGCATCATTGATTTAATGATGACACCTTATAAATAACCATTGCTTGCAGTGAAGACAGGTAAGTGGAGACATAAAAGTTGTGGAGAGATGGGTAATGGGTGGGCACTGCAGACAGAAGGAATAGAACACGCAACTGCCTGGAGGTGTGAAGGAGTCGAGAGTTTTACATAAAGAGCCGGCCAGTGTGATCCCAGTGAGGAGAGTGAGACGAAGCGTGCCCAGAGATGAAGCTGGAAGGTGGGTGCGATCAGATCATTCAGGGCTATAATCCATTGAGGAGGGGTACCATGATAAGATTTGCATTTAAATGTCACCATAGCTGTGTGGAAAGAGTGGATAGTAGAGGGGACAGAGTGGTGCAACCAGGGAACCAGTTAGGAACTGCTGGAGTACTTCAGGTGGGATACTCTGATGGGTTGTAGGACAGAGGTGGCAGCGGGCAGGGGTGTGTGAAGAGAATTAAATAGATGCAAAGGGATGTTGGTGGTAGAATCAACAGGGCACTCTTTTATTTAATTCATACAAAAGACGAGACTGAGTTTGACTAGAAGCTTAAAGGGAATACTTTCACAGTCTTCCTTGCCACTAGGAGTGGCTGTGTGATACAGTTTTGGCTTATGGGGCTGAAAGGAAGACTTCTGGAAATGCTTCTTCCCAAGAACCTTCTGAAAGAAGAACATCTTTTGCCACATGCTTGATTCTTGCATTTACGCGTGGTGTGAGAATGTGATGTCTGGTGTTGCAGCAGCCATCTTCCAATGGTGAGGCAACAGGCATGGGAATAAAAAGCAGCATGCTAAGGGTAATGGCACAGGAATGTGGGAAAAAGTGTCTGGGTTCTTGATGGTATCTTTGAGCCCCTGAAAGAACTCTGTGGTCACCCACCTGTAGATTTCTAGCTCAACGAGATTTTAC